GATGGTTTGGTAAGACGCCTGTATACAGCTACCTAAGGAGATTTGGTTGTGTTGTGTTTGTACATACAGACGATGGCAAGCTTAGTCCGAGAGCAAAGAAAGGAGTGCTTCTGGGGTATCCCACTGGAGTAAAAGGATATAAAGTCTGGTTACTTGAAGAAAGGAAGTGTGCAGTGAGCAGAAACGTGATATTTCAAGAAAATGCAGTCTACAAGGATCTTCAGAGTCAGAATGACCATCCTGTAGTTGAAGAGGATGATCCCTGCAGATCGTTGCTTGATCTTGACTTGGAGCCAGAAGGAGATTCTAGCTCAGGTGGAGCCTCACTGCAACACTCCGGTGTTACGTCCTCATCAAGATCAAATCCACTCTCACCGAACAGAAATGAAGGAACAAGTGATGACTCTGCATCAAGAAGCCATCATGTACCTCTAAGTTATCGTCTGGTTCGTGACAGAGACAGAAGAGAGATTAGACCACCGAGGAGATTTGATGATGAAGACTATTATGCCGAAGCCTTATACACAACTGAAGATGGTGATGCAATTGAACCGGATAGTTTTCAAGAAGCAAAAAGAGACATTCACTGGAAGGAATGGAGTCTAGCTATGGATGAGGAAATGAATTCTCAGAAGAAAAATTTCACCTGGACGAAGGTCTTAAGGCCCGAAAAACAGAAGGTGATTGGTTGCAGGTGGATCTACAAGTATAAACAAGGGATCCCTGGTGTAGAGGAACCTCGCTTCAAAGCTAGACTCGTGGCTAAGGGATATGCTCAAAAGGAAGGGGTAGACTATCATGAAATCTTTGCACCGGTTGTAAAGCATGTCTCCATAAGGATTCTACTTTCAGTGGTGGCACAAGAAGACCTTGAACTTGAGCAGTTAGATGTCAAGACCGCCTTCCTCCATGGAGAACTCAAAGAAAAGATTTACATGGCTCCTCCTGAAGGATACGAGTCAATGTTTAAAGAGGATGAGGTGTGCCTTCTCAACAAATCCTTGTACGGTCTCAAGCAAGCACCTCGACAGTGGAATGAAAAATTTGACAACTATATGAATGAGATCGGTTTTGTGAGAAGTGAACATGACAATTGTGCCTATGTGAAGTCTCTGGTGGATGGTTCAATGATGTATCTACTCATCTATGTGGATGACATGCTTGTTGCAGCCGGAAACAAGGAAGCTATAGATCAGTTGAAGATGGAACTCGGAAACAAATTTAAAATGAAAGATCTCTGAGCTGCAAAAAGGATCTTGGGTATGGAGATTACTCGAGACAGAGAACAAGGTGTTTTGTGGCTGTCGCAAGAAGGGTATTTGAACAAGATTCTGGAAACGTATGGAATGGGAGAAGCTAAACAAGTGGCTACCCCATTAGGGGCTCATTTGAAGTTAAGTGCAGCAACCGAAGATAAGCTAGCAAGAGATGAAGAGTACATGAAGTCTGTTCCATATTCAAATGCTGTGGGTAGTATCATGTACGCAATGATCGGAACAAGACCAGATCTAGCTTATCCTGTAGGCATTATAAGTAGATACATGAGCAAGCCGATCAGAGAGCATTGGCTTGGGGTAAAGTGGGTTCTGCGATTCATCAAAGGCACACTGAAGACAAGATTGTTCTACAAGAAGAGTCCCGAATTCAAGATTGTGGGTTACTGTGATGCTGAATTTGCAGCTGATCCTGACAAAAGGAGATCCATTACAGGTTTGGTATTCACATTGGGAGGTAATACCATAAGCTGGAAGTCAGGGTTGCAGAGAGTAGTCGCTCTGTCCACAACGGAATCTGAATACATGTCATTGACCGAAGCCGTGAAGGAAGCTTTGTGGCTTAAAGGGCTGTTAAAGGAGTTTGGTTTCGAACAGAGGAGTGTAGAGATTCACTGTGATTCCCAGAGTGCTATTGCTCTCTCGAAGAATAACGTGCATCATGAGCGAACCAAACACATTGATGTCAAGCATCACTATATCAGAGAAGTGATTGCTAATGGTGATGTTGAGGTTGTGAAGATTTCGACTGAAAGGAATCCAGCTGATATCTTCACCAAGATTCTACCTGTGAACAAGTTTCAATCCGCTTTGAACTTGTTGCAGGTCAGGTCTGAGTGATAAAACTCAGGAAATCCGAGGCCGGGATCCAGGAAACTAGAATTCAAGGAACGTCTCTCTCTCAAAAGGAACAAGAAAATGACTTGATCATCAGGTGGAGATTTGTGGAGACAATGCCTTGATGAACAAGTCTCTTCTTTGTTGGATGACCCAACGGTAACAAATGGAAGTTAACTGCAGTGACTATTTTTGAACTAAAGGTGAACTTACTTTTGGGACCACATACATGGGGAAATGGCGATTGCTTAAAATGGAAGAACAAGAGCATTGTCTATCCTCTAAGGGCTTATTGTCGCGTGTATACAAAAGCAGTAAGTCACGCTCTGCAGTCTGCAACAGCTAAAGCAAGAAACAACAACTGGCGTTTAGCGTTTTGGATCGACTGGAGCAAGCGGCTGGGTCATGAGGAAGCCCTTGGTGCCTAAGCACTATAAAAGGAAGATGCTTTGGGATAGAGAGAGAATTGAAGAGAACTTGAGAGGTTGTAGAGAGATTGTAGCTAAGAGAAAATTCTATTTAGCATAAGCTTTGTAATAGTTTTCTTGATACAAGTAAGAATCGAAGAGTGTCTAAGTGCTAGTGAAGGGCATTAGGCGGATCTCTTGATTCTTCTTGTTGTAACAGCTGCTCTCTATTGGTTCTAGTGGATTCCGAGGTGAGCCTCGGCGAGATGTAGCGTCCTTTAACGGCGTGAACTCGTTAAACTTGTGTGTGCTCCTTTTCTTTCAGTTAGTTTCTGCATTTCATCATCTCTGCAATCTCTTTCCTCTGTTTTAGAACTCTGTTCTTGAAGTGTGTTCCGTTAACTGTCACTCAAAGTCTCAGATCTTGGTTTGTTGCATCTCAGGCTAAAGAAAGTCGACATTTTTTTTGCACATTGAGTCCTAACAGGTCAAATATGAAAAATTCTAAATGTTGACAATAGAAAATGAAAAGAAAAACTAACTTTTGTAGATCCAAGAAAAAAAATAATTGTAGGAATTATTTACATGGTAAAATGATTAAATATCTATGTAAAATCATGTTTTATAAATTTCTCAAAAAAGATTCCGGATTATGGAAAATGGCAAGTATCGGGACGCATGTTTAGTTGGGGTACGATATGATAATTATTAATGATAATGGTACGCTTCTATGATGTCATTTTTCAAATGATACAATTCGCAGATGCAAAAGTCAGTCATTTTTCCCTGAATATTATTATGTACGATTCTTTTCTTCGTAAAATGTTTCTTTACAAAACATGCAAGAGAAAGGATTTGAGAATGTTTCTCTTTATCTGTGTCTCCTAACTCCTAAGCCTAACTTATTAACTAGAAGACTCAAAAAGAACTCTATTCATATCCCATTCATAAATTCAGATGTTGTTGGTGAAGGGCAAAATCGTCAAATATCGATGGTTCACAGTTCACACTTCACACCAAACAAAAGCTGAAGGAGACAATGCATGTTGTTGTCCAAGTCATCTTTACACAAAATATTAATTGATTCTACAGATTTGCAAAAATAAGTTTTACTTTTCATCATATATATAACTACTTCTCAAGTCCTCTCATAATTAAATCCCAAGTGTTTCTATCGTTTAGTGTTATGACTTGTAAAACTGAATCATTAATCGTTCTAATCAGAATATGAACTAAAACAGAGAAACATGAAAAGAACCAAGTTTCTTTGGAGCAGTTTTCTTTCAGCTGCAGCAACACTTCTCAAGAGGCTGCAGAAGAATTGATCATTAGACCAGGTAACACTTTTTGATCTTGAAATCTAATTCTCATTTTCTTTTTGACGTAAAGCGAAACTCATTGACAATACACCTTGTTTCACCTTTTACACTTGGTATATAGAGGAATGATGCTGATGTTTCATCCTTAAAGTCTAATGTAAGAAAAAAATGTCTTCTTCTCATTAATCAATCAAAGTCAGTACGTTTTTCCATATACAAGAGTCATTAATTAGTCACTTAATTGTGTAACTAACAACCTAACCGTATAAATAACTAATCAACGAACTCAACTCAAGCTAGCGAACCATCATCACTAAATTAAAGTAAAGCATCATGGTTCAACAAGTATCAACCTTTTTCATATAAATTGCTCGTTAAGTACCAGATTAAGGATTTAGCATCGATCTCAGTAGCTGGTAAAGCCTAATAGACTTTGTGATAAGTGTTTGCAGCTGACTTTACACGTGGCTTGTATATACAGAATGATAAAGCCGCAAATGTAAAATCGAAATCAAATGTGCAAAATAAACGGGTTTTTTCTTCTTCTTTTGTTGGAATTACAATTACCCAAAAAATGCCGATGTTACAGCTAATCGATTCTTTAATACAGCTAAACCAAAAATTACGATGTGTATGTTGAAAGTAATTTTTATAATAGAAAATCAAGAGATATCAACACTACTGTATTTTATATAGAAAGAATTAATAGTCCCCAGACAAGACATAAATATCACATTATTAGTGTCTTTATATACACATCAACAAATGTGAAGATAATACTTTTGATTCATGTGTAAATAGATTTTCTTCACTGACTTAAATGGATAATCATAGAGACAAAAGTATATTGTGAAAACTAAAAAAAAAATTGAAAAAAGGAAAAAAAATCTACGTCCACTAGTTTTCAACACTGTTAAATAAAAAAAGCAAAACAAAAACAATTGTATTTTGTTGTCACATACTCACATTAGTCATTTACAGGGAATGGTAAGTAAGTAGAAAGTAAGGAAATAAATGTGAATACAATGCATTAAAATTTAAGTTTTGACAACTAGTATCTAAAAACAATGTAAACTCCTTCCATAAAAAGCCATAAAACCAAAAAATTACCTTTGGAAATAAAAATACCAAATATTTACATTTTTTAAAGATATAATTTTAATATATGTTGAGAGAGAGAGAGAGAGGACTGTGTGTGTGATTTTATTTGTTTGTCGAAATCTGGGAATCATTTGATACTCTCCTTTGATCGATTTTCTGCATCCGTGAGGAAACCAATCGGCGAGCTCAATTCGTCTCATTCGAAATCGGAAACCTGTGATTTCGCGCGGTCCTGATCCGGCTATTTTCTGATCGTCGGATCAGCCATTCGATTTTATCTCCGAGGGAGAGTGTCTGTGTGTGTGTGTGTGAATCGGAGAGAGACAGAGAGGGAATGAACGGTGACGATGAGGCCGTCGCAGCTTCGGCAGACCCATCTCTGCCTCTGGATTGGAGATTCTCTCAGGTCTTCGGTGAACGAAGCGCTGGTGAAGAAGTTCAAGAAGGTAAGTCATCGGTTGACTTGGATTTCATCGGATTTAGCTTACGATTCGATCTAATCTGTCTAATTGGAATTAGGGTTTTTTAATTTGGATATGTAGATCTATTGGGGGGTTATTGAATTGTTCGATTATATTACGTTTTCTTCCCATCTTTGATGGGTCATTAGAAAGTTTTGGTTTTTGGTCAAGTTTGTATTTGTTATGCTTAATGGATTTTGTATGCTTGAAGTTGAGCTTGCGTGACTAGATTTCATTCTGCTGTTTTGTTATGAGAGGATGTTATTCTGAATTTTAGTTGAAATTCTCAAAACTGTAGCTGGTGTTTCCTCTGCAGTTGATATAATCTCAGCAATCGAATTTGATCATTCCGGCGATCATCTTGCTACTGGGGACCGTGGAGGACGGGTTGTTCTATTCGAGAGAACCGATGCCAAAAATGTAAGGCCTGCCTTTGCCTTGCAATCGTTTTTTGAAAAAAAAAAAGGGAATTTGAGAGATTTGGTTTGATGTTGTTGCATGGTATCAATTACAGAGCAGTGGAGCCAGAAGGGATCTTGAAGAAACTGATTATCCTCTGAGGCACCCAGAGTTTCGGTATAAAACAGAGTTTCAGAGTCATGACCCTGAGGTATTTGGTTTTGCTCTGTCTTCTTAATTACAACATCTGCTATACCTTGTTTCCGTCTTCTCATACTTGAACCTTGTCTACAGTTTGATTACCTCAAGAGTTTGGAGATAGAGGAGAAAATAAACAAAATTAGATGGTGTCAAACAGCGAACGGCGCTCTTTTTCTCCTGTCTACAAACGATAAAACCATCAAGTTTTGGAAGGTGAAAATTTCCTCCATTTTGTTTTGATAGGAACTGTGGTCTACACTACATTATAGGAACTGTGGTCTACACTACATTTTGTTTGCTTCTGGATATTTAGGATGTACAACGATCAAAGCTGAAACTTTCCTGGTCAATATTTTGAACTCTCTGGGCATTGACATTGTTTGTCGGGTTCCTCATTGTGTCTAAATTGTTCTGCATCCTTAATGTAGTTAAAGGTTTTTCTTTGGATCTTTCTCTATCAATAACCTGTTGTGATGAGTATGTAGAGGTAATTCTTTCCTCTTTTTTCTTATGGGAGAGTTTTAACAGGTCCAAGACAAGAAGATCAAGAAAATTTGTGATATAAATTCAGATCCTTCAAGAGCTGTAGGTAATGGAACCATTGCAACCTCGGTGAACGGAGGAGTACCTGAAGCGAACAACTCATTTATCCCAGGAGGCATCTCATCCCTGCGGTTGCCAGTGGTAGTTGTACCATGAACAAATATTTTCTTTTTGTTTCTGGCTTCCTAAATATTTTGAACATTCTAATTCAGCACGAACTGAAGTAAAACCTGCATCATATGGCGAATCTTTTTTTACCAACTTTCTGGATGATTCTAAAACTCACGTGAAGGTTTTGAATTGGGCCAATTTAGCCATTATAACATGGAGCGTATCATGTAATATATGCGCCCAGAAAATGATTCAGTTTGACTTGCGCTTTTAGTATTAGTCTTCTGTGCATTTTCCCGTTCCATGACTTTCTCAACCTCTGATTAGGAATTGATTCTTAAGTCATGCAATATTAATGCTCATTTGTAGACTAATAGTTCATTTGTCACATACAGGTAACCAGCCATGAGTCGAGCCCTGTGGCTAGATGTCGAAGAGTATATTCTCATGCTCATGATTATCATATCAATTCGATCTCAAATAATAGGTAGGTTATTCACCCATTTTGGAATTCGACTTGCTTGCTTCTTACTATCAACTGCTTGTTTCTCTGTGAGAAATTCTATGATGTCACTATAAGTCTCTGATGAATTGGTCTTTCTGTATAATCAATCCATTTTTTTGCCTTTCTATTCGAGCTGACATCTCGTTGATATTAGCTTGATATGTATACTTTCATTGTTAATGTTCTTTTCCAAATATTTTTTTTTCTTAAAATCAGTGACGGAGAAACATTTATTTCTGCTGATGATTTGCGAATAAATCTTTGGAATCTGGAGATTAGCAATCAAAGTTTCAATATTGTTGATGTCAAGCCTGCGAAAATGGAAGATCTCTCTGGTAAGTAAGCTGTGGTTTACTGTTCTTTCAGTCCAGTTTATTCGCTGCATGTTATGGTGGTCTATTTTGAGGTATATTGCACCCATATGTAGCAATTGGATGTTATATCCTGCGTAACTTATACCGCATTTGTTCTTGCAGAGGTTATCACATCAGCAGAATTTCATCCTACCCATTGCAATATGTTAGCTTATAGCAGTTCGAAAGGTTCAATTCGCCTGATCGATCTCCGCCAATCAGCTTTATGTGATTCACATTCCAAATTGTAAGTCTTGAGACTAGCAATTCTGTTGCTTCTATATACTCCGGTATAACTTGAAGGACAATCTAATAACCTTGTATAATTATCCTAGTTAGTTCTCTACTTCATCCAAGTTTTGTCTCTCGTTTTTTTATTTGGAAAAAAACATCCATACCAGCAGAAGAGATAAGTGTCTAGTAGCAACGGCTAACATTGCTTGTTTCTGCAGGTTTGAGGAACCAGAGGCAGCAGGTCCTAAATCGTTCTTCACTGAGATAATTGCTTCAGTCTCAGACATCAAATTTGCTAAAGAAGGAAGATATCTACTTAGCCGTGACTACATGACACTTAAGGTCCATACTTACTGTTTCCATTGGCAGTAATTGATATGCCGTTGAAGCTATCAGTGGCTGGTTAACAAGTTTTTCTAAACTGAACTCATGGTTATGTTTTGAATGTCAGTTATGGGACATCAACATGGACTCAGGTCCAGTAGCAACCTTTCAGGTTCATGAATATTTGAAACCGAAGGTCAGTTTCCTTTACTATAGAGAGAGCTGCACTTTACAAGTTTGTGCATAGCTGATTGGTACTCCCTTTCCTGTGGCCATTTTCAGCTCTGTGATTTATATGAAAATGATTCCATCTTTGACAAGTTCGAGTGTTGTATAAGTGGCAATGGATTGCGAGCAGCTACAGGTTCTTACAGGTATGCCCTGGAAAGCAGATCATCTTTTAGTATGTTTTTTTTTGCATTTCAAATGACTATGATTCCTTGTATAATCATTCTTCTGGCTTTCATATTTTATCCAGCAATCTGTTCCGTGTATTTGGTGTTTCCCCGGGAAGTACCGAGACTGCAACCTTAGAAGCAAGCAGAAACCCAACGAGGTAAACTTGGTAAAGCGATTAAGAATTAGTGTGCTGGATCTTTTGTTTTTCCGGAGTGTTGCTAAAGAATTCTTGTTGTGGTTATATCATAGGAGACATATCCCAATTCCCTCGAGACCATCAAGAGCATTAAGCAGTATAACGCGTGTTGTAAGTAGAGGTTAGTCTTTTTCTCGCCCCTTTCCTCATTTAACCATATACCCTTCTAAGAAACTGGCAATCAAAATTAGTAACTATTGAAATGGTAAAAAACAGGATCAGAGAGTTCCGGAGTCGATGGAAATAGCAATGCTCTTGATTACACAACGAAGTTGCTGCATCTTGCTTGGCATCCAAACGAGAACTCAATTGCTTGCGCCGCTGCAAATAGCTTGTACATGTACTATGCTTAAAACGATATTCAGCAAAAAAGGCGCATTTCCTTGCTCTGGACTCATGGTGATTGATGGGAGATTGCTATATACATCATCATCATCATCGATCGATCACATAAGCTATGTAATCATCGTGTTGGACTTGTGGGAAAATGGCAAGGAAAAGGCAAGCAGTGAAAGTCAAAATTTCTATTTTGAAGTGTAGAATTTACTTGTGCACCTGGAAACTACTTTTACAGGCCAAGAAAGAAAAAAGAAAAAAATCCGATTGGAAGAAATCGTGATTTTAGTAAGCTAATCTCATATGACTTTTGGATTGGATATAGATTAGATTTTACAATCTTTTCTGGTCTTATGTAATCATTGTTTTATTGATTCTTTTGTTAAACTTGTTTCTATTTTCTTGACTTATTAAAATAATACATTTCAGTTACCAAATTTGTTTACTCTTATTTAGTTATTTATTTTGGCTTTTAGTAATATCAACAAGCAACGCTAGTAACCCCTCCAAAGTTAAAATATATAACTTGAACAATTGGTTAACATTGAGACAAGTATTTTAAAAATTCGAAATATTTCAGATAACTTTTGGATAATTTTCACCAGTTTTTACAAATTCTCAACTATATGTTCCAAATCTGACCCATCCTCAGATATTAAATTTCTTTTTTGTCCAAAACGAACGAATAGTTATTTTAACATAAATTGAATAACTGATAAACATGCGTGAGACAAGAAATTCAGGACTGGTAAAATATGTCCCGAAAGACAATGTATAACGTTTTTATAGACTAGAAAAGTGTGCTATTTTAGCAAAAATCCAGAATAAAAATATTAAATCGTTATATATCGTAAACTTTTACATATATTGAAAACTAAAATCTTAATAGACAAAGACTACTCTCAAAAAGTCCATTCGAATCACATACCAAATCTCATTTTACTGTTGTCTTTGTGGTTACTTAAGACTAAACTGAACCATCCATAATTTGTCGTCCTAGATAGCCGCAAATCGTAGCCGTAGAAGTGCGTCAGGATCAGTATACAAACGGTCAGCGATAACGGCAGCTTAACGCGACGATAAAGATCATCAAAAACTAGTTTTGACACTTGTGCGGCTCTGGTTCAGTGTATCACGATAGAAAGTGACGGTGGTGATTCGATGTTCCAGGTAGGGTTCCAAGTCTAATCATGCTTCCACCTTTTCATTATAGATTTTTGCTTGTTAAGCACGCTATCTGTTTATTTATCATATCGTCTGACTTTGTGTGTATTTGCCTTCGTTGATTTTTAAATTTAATTTTTTCTTTATGCTGCTAATTAATTCCTTACTACTGTATTAAATTTTCTCGTGGGATCGAGGAAGTGTGTAACTGTGAAAGTTACATTCTCTATTCACGTTTGACGTACACGGAAATAAAAATAGATATGGTTTTAAGTTTTTATGAGAAAATATAATATCCAATTAATGCAGGCGGATTGGGTTCAACGCGATATCCCAAAAAATTACATCAAGTAAATAAACTCTTTAAGATATTAGATAAGTCAACAAGTCAATGATAAAGTTCAACGCGTGGAATTTTGTCAATGAAAGCATTGTAGGAAAGTTCGGAGAAAGTTCACTGGTTCGTAACCAATGTTTTGCAAACAACATAAAAGAGATTATATTTATATTTATCCATTCAGTCAACCGTTAAACTCAAAACAAGTAGGAGTTTGTGCAAAAAAAGTTTAAAGTTCTATCACTTGTTTAGCAAAAAAAAAAAAAAAATCTTCATCACTAAATTATTTACCATTGTCCATAGAGAAAATATAAATACATGTTTCAATGTTTTAATATTTTAAAATAGATATTTTTTTTAAATCCGTGACAAGTAAATGAAAATTCAGAAAAAAGCAAACAATAGTTGGAATTTTTCTATTGAAAAATTTAACTTTGATTGGTAATTATAAACGTTTGTATTACAAAAATGTCAAGAACATCAGCCGTTTCTATATTTAGGGATTAATCTTAAATTTAGCTCGATTATTTTAAAAGTGAAGACATTTTTTATGCCCATCTATTATATTAAAACAGATGCACATTTAGTACTTGCTTCTAAACACTCTTAATGTTTTTTTAAGTGTTTAAAAATAATTTTAAAAATAATTTATATTTAATTTCGAAAATTAGTTATTAATTTAAATATTTTTAGAGTTTCTTAAATATAGGTAATTTAGATTTAATTTGATTTGATTAAAAATAATAAATCAGATATTAATTTAGATTTGATTTAAAGGTTCTAATTTAAATAATTTCTATACTATTAAACATTTTTATCAAAAATATCTAGAATTTTTGAAAAAAAAAAATAATTCACATATGAAAAATAATGGTCATATTTGAAATATAAAATATTTATAATGATGTAAATGATATGATATTTATGTTGCTTATATAATATATTTACGATTATGATTTATTTACAAATTAATAATAAAATAATATGTAAAATTCAAATGTATAATTTAAATATTAAAAATATATTTTTTAAAATTCATAGAACTAAAAATATATATAAAAACCGGGTTAAAAATATTTTGGTAACTAAAATCACTAATTTTGAATTACAAATGTATATCGAAAATATATTTTTCATACAAAATAAAAACATAAAAAATTAAAAATTATTGCATACACTATAATGTTGTTTGAAAAACCAATTGTACAATCCCTTTATTGATTAAATTTTAGAAAACTATAATGCTAAATAATACTGTTAATATATCTCAAACTTTTAACAAATATTTATATTATACGGTAATATGAACGGAAAAGTTAGAATTATGTTTTTATAATAGTTTATTTTGAATTAATATTAGCGGATAGGTTAAAATTATATTTTTATAATCATAATTAATTTTAATACTATAAAAATATATCTAAACATAAAAATCAATATTTTCACTTATTAAAAAATATATTTATAAAAATAATTATATCTAAACTCAAAAACACAAATTATATTACAAAATTCGTTAAACAATAAAAATATTCCCGTGCAGATGCACGGGCTTAAAATCTAGTTAACAATTTAAAACTAAACTACAAAAGTCAACAAGAAATTAGTCTTAGAATTTTTAGATCAACACAAAACTCTTTCACTAGAACCCAAAAGGCAAAAACAAGAGATTTGAATAAATCTAAAAAGTGTTGAAGTTGTCATTGTGTGATACAAAGAAACATCTCTTTCAATCTCTCTCTCTCTCTCACTCACTCCACCAAATATCTCCACTCTTTATCTCTCTTCCTCAATACCCCATTCATATTTCGCAGTTTGCCACCACCAAAAGATTCCATCTTTACTCTTTTTAAAAGCTCTCTGCACTAATCAGATTTCACGTAAAGGAAACAAATTTATACTTCATCTTCCCCAAAAACCAAAAAAAAAAAGTTTTCGGGTTCCGATTCAGAGGAAATTTTACAGTAACAGAATTTTCGTTTGTTTTTATTCCCGAGTGAAAAAAAAAATGCAGGATATGACGTCAGCAGCAGCGTATTACCAGCAAGCGATGATGATGACGACGACGGCGAAGCAGCAACCGGAGCAAGAGCAGCTAAAGTGCCCTCGCTGTGACTCACCCAACACCAAATTCTGTTACTACAACAATTATAATCTATCACAGCCCCGTCACTTTTGCAAAAACTGCCGTCGTTACTGGACCAAAGGCGGTTCCCTCCGTAATATCCCCGTCGGCGGCGGATCTCGCAAGAACAGCAAACGATCATCTTCTTCTTCGTCGTCGAAGACCAAAACAGTCGCTGCTTCCGATCAGAAACAAGAAGAAGAGGGTATTAAAGGGAATTCGGGTCAGGAAATTGATCCAACCCGGATGTTATACGGGTTACCGGTTGGAGATCCGATTGGTGGGAATTTCAGTTCGCTTTTGGCGTCGAATATGCAGATGGGACTTGGAGGGATTAATTACGATTCCGGGTCACGTTGGTATCCGGGTACGGGTTTGGGTTCGGTCTCGGGTTTTCGGAGGAGTGATGACGCGTGGACTGCTATGAATAGAGTCGAGAAGAATTGAAAGAATCTCAAGGGTAATTTGGTCTAATCGGTATAGATGTCGTTTTTTTTAGTTAACGCGTAGTCAATATAACAACAAACGATGTCGGTCCATTTAGTGATATAATCTTTTATTTCACTTTTTTCTTTTCATTTTGCGAGTGTATGTTATATGATGATATTTGAATAGAATTATTATAGAGCGAACAATAGCGAGTGTATGTTAATTTACTTTTACGAATCCGATTTTTGTTTTTTCTTGTTTCACAGAATATTATTACTGAAATGAGAGTTGACACATTTTGTTTTCTTTGAAAAAAAAGCACCGCGTTTACATCTATGGTACAAATTCTAGCTAGGATCAGAAATCTATTTATAGTCAATTCAGTCATAATTTTACTAAGATAATGTGAACGAGCAAACATGTAAACGAAAGTCAAAAGAAATGAAAAATGTGGTCCAAGTGGATGGATAAGTCTTAACTATTAAGAAATCAGAACTAATATAGTCCACTTCTTAGGCTCTATTTTGGGTAAAATGATTTGAAATGATGACTGATGAGTTGTTGTTATCAAATGTTGGGGCTTAGTTTGATTTTGACAATGCTTAACTATAATTGTAAAAGCTATCATCTCAATGACTCATCCACTCCACTGATGGGCGATTCTATTTATAATCCTGATGGCTGGTTTAATTTTATGGACCACATAGCTCTTTTGGTCATTGTATTTCAAGAATTACACAATTTACAGTGCATGAATATGAAGTATATTCGTCTCATATTATTAGCCAGTACATATTAGGTAATGAAAAAATTAACAAACATGGTATTTTGACATCTTTATTCACCAGTAAAAATACCATAAATTTTTTCACTCTAAACAAAGATTTACTGAATTTTGTAGATTTGAAAACCTATTGTGCCATGGGGAAAAGAAGTCGTAAGACTGAAACAATTGTCGGTCTTTATAGTATGATGACAAAAAATCCAAGTCTCTTGACATTGTAGAATTGAAATTTCTGAGGTGGTCTATAATAAGCTTTTGACGATCTGAATGTTTCATGAACTAAAAACCAACAAAAGAGAGAGAGAGATTACATAGAGACGAAGCGGGCTTTGTACATAATGATGTACGCCATATGCCAATCACCTGTGAATTTTTTTACTCAGCACAGAAAGAAAACGGAAACGAATCAGATAAAAAACGCGAGAACCACATTATGCGAGTCAAAAAGAAGCAGATCAAAGCTTTCGGGTTTTACCTCCTCCGGATAGCTTTGTGATGTCTTCCTCACGTTGCAGGCTCGGGTGGTCATCATCATATTGAATCCATTTGCCTGTAAATATGTTAATTGTTGTGAATGATAGAGAAGATGGTTTGCGTGTGATAGGAGAGGTAAAGTTTATTAGAGAAAAAGGAACTAACCACTCTCTTGCTTCACCCATGCAACATAATGACCAGAGTCAGCACTCCTGCCCTTGTGGGTCAGCACAGAGACCAGGTCATAGATTCCGGTCATGTGAGTTTCCTTCTCAGAAGAAGCACCTGTAAGGTCCCATTACGAAACAGAATTAGATTCCTTACCATTAAGATCTGACAAGATTCTTGATTGCTTGGATACGAGAACATGGACAAACAATCATCCAAGTATTACATCATTATCAAGGTTTCTTCAATATTATCACCATTGATTAGAGCTATTTTTCCAGTTATTTATATTTCAATTTTAATTTCGAATATCCAGCTCAAAGACTATGGCTAACAACAGGAAGATTCTGGCAGATTTTCTTATTACCAAAGTTTTTAAAATACAGCATACAACCCAATTATGTTTTTTCTTAAACAGGCCCGAAAAATGTTCAATATGGGTCATAGAAACAGTACCTTCCTGTGGGGTAACGGTGGATGATTCTCCACTTCCATGTGATGACGCCTGCAAACAAATACAGAGCAAAAATGTTCTTAGATGATTGTACTTTACATATGATTTATAGGTACAATAAATGTATCGTACCTCTGCATCAGTCATTTTAACGTCGCTGTCCTTTGCGCTACTCTTTGCACTAGTTTGCAGACCAAGCTTTTTACCTTCCTCATCTCTAAGTTTCTGAAACACACAGCTGTCAGTTGATTTGGTTAACCAGCTCAGATATATTGAGCTCACCACATATAGACAGTGCAAACCTGACGAGGAGCTTCCAGTTTCTTCCGAAGATCCTCAGAACAAAGGTCATAAATATCCAACTCCAGCGGATAATCCACTTTCTTCAAAGATCAAAAGTTGGAGACGTTACCATATAATGTTGGGCATCCGAAGTTTGGGTTATGATAAAAACAAAAAACAAAAACGTACCCTGAGGATCTTTGCTTTCTGATTAGTCTCCCTTTTCCAGAAGAATCGCACAAACTGAACGGTCAAGTACCTTCAAGATCAGTAGAAGATAAAGAAACTTCGTGTCAGAGGAAAAAGGATTAGAAGTTGCTGTAAGTCAGGAAGTTGACGAAGTTAAATTCCCTGGTACATGCTGGATATGAAGCATGCCACAGAAGGATTACAGAACTGCGATGTGCAATAATGTCGCAAACAATAAGCAGAGACTGATCACCTTGGCAAGGAATCTATAAGGGACTCCTTCAGGTAAAGCGCAGAACGGCCCAGAGCAGGAGAAGTTTTTTCAAGTTCCCCTTTCAGTCCCTGCAGTAAACGAGAAGGATTGGGGATGTTCATCAGACAAATACAAGATATTATAATAAGCAGAATATCAAACAAACGTTTTTCCATGTACGCAGTATATTAGAGAAACATGCAGGAATAAAAATCAGAGACAAGTCTACATTGGAATTATTAAAATTACTCACATGTTTTAATCCTTCATGCAAGTGGTTTACCTCATGTGATATATGACATTTTAGAGAATATACAGATTCTGTCTCTGAGCTTTCTTCGCCACTTTCTTGACAATGCAACCTACAGCACAGATACCAATATTAACACGACTGAATATACTAAGCAAGGTGATAAAAACCACTCAGGTATTTACATCTTCAATTGTCAATATCACATGAACAAGCACTTCAACCAAAATTTCATATATTCCCAGTAGGAAAACCCTCAATAAATGTGTGGGTGGGTGTGTATCACAAAATTCTCTGGAAAGTTTTCAAGCACACCTAATTTAATCCTTAAGAGGTAGAAAATGAGTAAGTGAAATGCTATAACTACGAATTTTCAAGTATCTCCCTTTCCTAGGATACCAAGCAGATGTGCTTTACCCCAGGGTAAGGAGCAGGAGTTTGATGGGTTAAATTAGAGAATGAAGACCTTTTACAGTTTTTGCATTGTATGAATGATCTATACAAATAAATAAGACATATATGACACTGAGAAGTGAATTTTGCACGGATACCTGCTCCGAAGATTGACACCAAAGAGAGCTTTTACAGCATCAGAATCTTCGCTGGAAGTTGGTGCTTTTAGGGACTGAGAAAGAGTGTATAACAGTTGTGTCCAACATTCTTCGGCATCCTGTCAGACATTTTAATAGCAAGGGTTTACAAACTGAAAGGTCACAGGCTTAATGCAACCGAGTTTGCAGTGAGAAACAAACCTGCTGCATGTGCATTCCATTCTGCAACTGGCTAAACTGAGGATATTTTTTTCGTAATACCTGCATCAAGACCAAAGTTGATATGAGCTAAGAACTAGAATTTTCCAAATCTTATGATGATGTATGGACACTTATAATGAGAACTAGCACAAGGAATTTGAGATGAAGTTTCCATACAAGACCACAGAATACTAACCATCCAGAACTGCGAAGGCGAAACAGCATTGACACTTTTGTCAAGATCACTAAATAGCTCACGAGTGGCAACTGTGAGCATGTGAGAAGTCTGGTCGACATCATTGCTCCGTCCGGCAAGTGAGTAACTAATTAAGAGGAAATTCTTTCTCTGAGATAACGATACTGAACAAAGACAGTGCCCTCGGTTTTTATTGTTAAGAACAGTTAAGCGTAAGAGATGAACTTTACTTGGACAATGCAGCTTTCAACTCCGGGACAGATTTTAAGCACTGTACCGTAGAGTTCATGTAACACGTGTTGCCAAGGTTGACAAGGCCAGCACTGTAACCCTGAAATCAATTGTAATGTTAGTTAGGTGATAGGACGGATGCCCAAATTTTCAGAATTATACAAACAAAACATGACACCCAACTTTTACAAATTAGAATGCCTTATGAACAAGTTGGGTTTATTTATTTATTATTGATCTGAACTCTATGCATGTGCATTGTTAAGTTAGTAGCAACTACCAAACTCCAAGAAACACAGTGATAAGGCATGCTTGTTTAGTATACTGCATAACAACTGCTACTAGCCCTAGTCTTAGTCATTTGATTCCATAAGGGGGATACACAAGGCTCATATCACACACTTATAATCAGCAGTAAAAAGAATTACCAGGTTAGTGGCTTGCTCTTCTTCAGGTAAATCCTCTGCAAAAACAATGGCCTTTTCCGGAGCTTTCACTATTTCATCTGCAGTTCCCATCATCATCAGTTTTTGACCCTAGAATGAACAAAGAAAATGAATAAGCATCATTTCAAAATGAAACAAATAAGAGCAAAAAAAAAGAGTGCCAACGAATGCAGATAAGAGCTTTACATCTTTCACTCCAATAGCGGACCAATCTGCATCATCCTGCGTCAATCGAAAGAGATAGACTATTGTCATCAACATGGATAAACATCTCTGGTGAAACAAAGTAACCTAGAAACCAAAAATTACCTTTAGGAGTCCACCTTTGACCATGATCTTTTGCCGCTCCGGTGGTACTCCAGTCAAATCATACAACTGAGCCTTGAAAACATAAGGAGGCAGAGTAACATCAATCTCGATACCTTCAAACACTTTCTTTTGCCACTTGACGCTTACTGTAAAATCAACAATCAAATCACCATATAATTAGGTTTACAACAGTCAACACTCTGGACAAATCTAACCATCCATTGACACAAACTACAATATCAACTCTCGTTAATCTCAGGCAAAAACGAAAAACCTAATCACTATCCTTCCTACAACGGAGAGGAAAAACAAGATCCGATTCCGGATTACGAAATTTCCAATCGCAGAATAGCCTATATCAACATCCCACCGACAGGAACGAATTCGAAGTAGGAAAAAAGAGGACGAGGAACAGAAATACATCGATTTAAGCATTTTCTAATCGAAGAAATCGAAAGAGAAGTAACCTGTGAGCATCTTTGCCGTGAGAACTGAGAGTC